TGCAGCTATGAGGTCTGGGGAAGTTGCTCTCAGGTGTTGCAGTACAGCCTGGCTAGAAGGCGTAGAGGTATACAATGCCAGGTATTCAGGGAACATAAAGAGAAGGAAGATATAGAGAGACGAGAAACTGAGCAATGAAGAAAGACAAAAAGGGAAAAAAAAGGGAAAAGAAAACAAAACAAATTTAAAAAAAATGGAACAAGAAAGGCCCCCCCCCAAAAAAAGAAAAAAAAACAACAAAAAAAGCAATGCCCTCAGGGATTCTTCTGCATGTCTGTGGAAGCCGAGGGGGAGTCACCTTGCCATGCAGCTCCACCTGGCCAGTAAGGGCTCCCAACTCAAGAAAAGGAAAAGAAAACAAACAGTTCAAAACAAACAAAAGCCCCGGGATCCCACCAGTGCAGCAGCCCAGACCGGGAAGCAGGTCCACACTCGAACGGAGCTCCGCAGCCCCTCAGGAAGAAGCAAAGATGGCGCACGGAACCAGGTACTCGAGCGAAAGGAGGGGTGGTGGCGAGAGGCAAGGAAGATATCAAAAGAAGCAGAAAAAAAGCAACACTAGCAGCCAACAAATGGCACTCAGAGAGCCAGCTAGTGCGGACTGGTGTTTCTGGACGAGAGACTGTGTCCTTGGGAAGCAGAGGGGGCCGAGTGTGGGTGAAGAAGGGTAGAGAGTGGGAAAGCGTATATCACAAATTACTAGTGCTCTGCAGCCCCTCAGGAAGAAGCAAAGATGGCGCACGGGTAGAGGTACTCAAGCAAAAGGAGGGGGTGGTGGCAAGAGGCAAGGAAGAAATCAAAAGAAGCGGAAAAAAGCAACACCAGCAGCCAACAAATGGCACTCTGAGAGCTGCCTGTTTGGGAGTGTGGAATCCAAGCAGCCAGTGTTTCCCGGTCAAGAGACTGTGGCCGCAGGAAGCAGAGGAGGCCGAGTCGGGGTGAAGAAGTGTGGGGGGTGGGAAAGCGTATATTGCAAATTACCGGTTGTTTTGTCTCCCGCTGGACTCTCCGTGAGGCTGCTTTCTCATACCCCATTTGCTGGTCTCCGATAGGAGTCCAAGATGGCAGATCCACGCTGCGTTAGCTGGTGGGGGACCTCTGCATGAATCTCTCTTCGCTCTCCGTTCTCTGTGTTTTCTCACTCCATTTGGTGCTTGGCTGAGTTCTTCATCTCTTCATTTGATGTTTTAGGGTTTCAGGATTGTTGTATTCTCTGTTCAGCTTAGTTTTTCAGATCTTTGCTATGGAGGGACGGCGTGGTGCTTCTGCCTAGAGTGCCATTTTGCCAGAACCCCGTGGCACACTTTTTATAAACATATTATTTAATTCTCACAACTTCCCTGTGATTATGTATTACTGTCACTATTTCATAAACAGGGAACATTTTTAATGAAGTTCTGAGCACTTACATTACTCATCAGAAGTTATATACTCAGCACACAAAATCATTTAATTCCTAAAAAGCATATGCATGCCCTTTCAACTCTACATGTAAAAGTGCTTAATTATGATAGAGCTTATATGATCAATGAGAATGTATGTGTGAAGTAAGGGTTTATCCCTCTGTAGACAGTTTATCTTTCTACATCAGCGCCTCCACAAAAGACTGTGAAGCAATGTACTTAAATACCTTTCAACTCTGGAAGGTATTTCCAGAGAGCTTTGTAAAATAGAGAAAGTGGTACTTTTGCCAGGTAACTGACCTCAGGGAATATCAAACTTTTATCTGCCCTGAAGATAGACCTTAGCCATCAGAGAACACAGAAAGACTGACTAGCTTCCTGTTGTTCTACTAACAATCTTAATTTTTTTCACTAAGTGATCAATGGAACGTTTCATAGGCACAAGCTTTGCAGTCAGTCAGACCTAGGTTGGAACTTCAGCTCTGAAACTTATTAGCTGTTTGATCTCAGGCAAGTTATTCATTCTCTCCATGCCTCTCATCTGTAAAATGGAGATACAACCTTCCTCAAGAGGTTGTTATGTTGATTAAATAACGATATAGTTAAAGGGCCTACCACAGTGACTTATGGGTCATAATTCTGAATAAATGGAAGTGATGATATGCTGGGGAGATTAAAAGATGTGTAGGATATACCTCCCACTCTTGAGAAAATATGTTTGGAGAAACAGAAAATCAAAGCATAACAAGTTTAATATCAATATAAAGGATAAATAATAGTTTGCTGTAGTAATATAAGGAGCCCTGGTGGCACAGTGGTTAAAGCACTCAGCTGCTAACCAAAATGTCAGCGGTTCCAACTCACCAGCTGCTCTGCAGGAAAAAGATGTGGCAGTCTGCTTTGTAAAGATTTACAGCCTAGGAAATCCTATGGGGTGGTTCTACTCTGTCCTGTAGGGTTGCTGTGAGTCAGAATCAACTCAATGGCAGTAGGTTTGTAGTAATATAGACAATGTCAAAGACAAAAAAGATTGAGGATTTTGGATTAAATGATCTCCAGTTGTGTGCAGCTTTACCACTCCACGGTTTTAAATGAGTTATACAGGTGTAACTGCTAGAGAAGTTCAGCATATGGAGATAAAGTTGGAGGCCAGAATGGTCAGTGAAGTCTTCATGGATGGAGAAGACTGGCTTGACCTGGATCTTGAGCATGAATGGGATATGGAGAATTAAGAGGAAAGAGGGCTTTCCAGATAGATGTAATGGCATTAAACAGAAATGCAGTGGTAGAACAGAGTGAGACATACCCTGGGACAGTGACAGCACCGGTTTAATTGTAGGCATAGTGTTTGGGAAGAAAAATAGAGGAAATTAAAAAAAAAAAATTTTTTTTCAGGGATTAATCTCAAACTCAGTTATGAGTTTGAAATTAATGCTGAAGAAAATGGTGTGTTTTGGAAGGTTTATAAGCCAGAGAGTGGCAAAAGCAAACACTCTTTTCCTATGTTCCAGGTTTTCCTCAGCACCAGGAGAGGGGCTTGGATCCTGAATCGTGTAGGGGATCATGGATACCCTTTTGATGTATTGTTCTCTTCTAGACTTAATTATTTTAAGAAGAAGATTGTTAGTCAATCATTGTTAAATACACTTTTGGAAAACAAGATGAACCAAAGGTTTGACCATGAAATGTTTGGCCTAAAGCCTAAACACAGGTATGTTCCCAGGGTGGGAGTGGGGAGGTAATGGCCAAGGGGAAAGAATAAGGACTGTTCATACAGGCTGACAGTAGAGCTACCTCTACCCACACATCAAGAAAATCCACAGAATCTGAAATCATTCCTACCTGGTCCCCCACAGAAGTCCAACATCTACTGGCCTGTAGGTTTGTGGTCTGTGATTCTTCTTGGCATTTACCATTTTTTCATTTCCCCAGGTTATCAGTTCTTTTTACATGATGTCCAACAACAACAACACAATGGTAGTAGAGGGTAGTATATCATTTATTCATTCATTCATCCAGCCAACATTGAGCCCCTGTTATGAGCCAGGCATTATATTGGGCATGAGAATACAGAGACAAAAGATAATAGTAATACTTATACCAATAATAATACCTTACTCTTTTTAGGACTTACTGTATGACAAGCACAGTGCTAAATGAGTTACATTCATTATCTCATTTAATTTTCACGACAGCCATATAGGTTGGTACTATTTGTATTTAGAGAAGCTGCATAATTTGCCCAAGGTCACACAACTAGTAAATGGCAGACTCGAGAAATGGATGTTAGCTTAACATACTTGAATGAGAAGAAAGACAACAAAGTATAATATAGAAATATATGGAGTGCTGTGAGGGTATAAAGGAAGGGTCCTCACATAGCCAAGTTAAGTGAAAGAATTTCTAAAGGTTGATTTTAAATGATTTTTTTTCTCCCAACTTTTTCTTTTTGGAAATGTTCAAATCTACAAAGTGGCAAGAATAATACAATGAACACCTATATAACCTTTACCTAGATTTATGTATTGTTAACATTTTGCTATATTTGCTTTCTCTCTCTTTCTCCGAAGATAGATACATACATACATAATATTTTTTTCTGAGCCATTTGAGAGTAAGTTGCAATCATTAAGACACTGTACCCAAAATACTTCAGCATATATCACCTAAGAAAAGAGTTATTGGATATTCTCCTATATAACCATAATACAGTTAATCACATCTGGGAAATTTAACATTGATTCAGTATCTTTATCTGTTATATTGTCCATATTCAAATTTCTCCAGTTGCACTAATAATGTTCTGTATAGCTCTTTTAAAATCCAAGTTCCTGTCAAATATCACTTGCATTTAGTTTTCATATCTCTTTAGTCTCTTAATCTGGAACAATTCCCCAGCTGGTTTTTTTGTTTTGTTTTTGACATGAACTTTTTTGAAGAATCCCAAACCAATTGTTTTGCAGAATGTCTCTTAGTTTGGACTTGCATGGTTGCTTCTACATGATCATATTCAGGCTAAATATTTTTGGCACAAATACTACCAAGGTGATGTGCCCTTCTCAGTGGATCACTTCAGGAAGGTACATGATGTCAGTTCATCCTATATTAGTGATATTAAATTTGATCACTTAGATAAGATTGTATCCACCAGTTTTCTCCACTGTAAAGGTATTTTTCACTTTGAAATTCATCAGTGGGGTAATACTTTGATACTTGGTTCACCAACAACCTTCTGCACAATTATTCTAGCATCTATTTCTTTGATGGTTGTAAAATAAATTGAGGCTTTATGGAGTAATAGGAAATAGCCAAACAAATAGAGTAGCATCTCAATTACAAGCACAGAGTCTCGGAGTGGCAAAAAAATTGTGTTATGCTCCTAGACCTGCACATAGTTGGGTATGGTTAGACTATATGGCACGGGTGGAAGAGTGGTTGAAGAATACATCATCTCCAGGCTCATCAGGCAGGTATGTGAAAACCTTTATATGTTATGCTCAATAAAAAATTATGGAGTGAAGGTACTACAAAGTCATTGAAATTTTTTAAGCAGGTGAGTGACATAATGATAAATACATTTCTAGAACAACCAGTTTGAAAATGGTGTGGAAGATATAGATTGGAGGGGAATGGGCAGGAGGCCCTAAAGACAATTCTAATAGTCCAGGTAAAAAAATTCTGGGGACCTAAGCCAAGGTAGGAGCCCTGGTGATGCAGTGGTTAAGAGCTCGGCTGCTAACCAAAAGGTCGGCAGTTCAAATCCACCAGCTGCTCCTTGGAAACCCTGTGGGTCAGTTCTCTGTCCTAGAGTCTCTATGAGTCAGAATCAACTCGACAGCAATGGGTTTTGGAAGCAAAGGTAGTATCGATGGGGAGTAGATAAGACTACTCTGTGGATGTTAAGGGGAGAAAGAGAAAAGCCTTGATGACTCAAATATAACACTCACAGTTTTGTGGCTTGAGCAACTATGTGGATGGTGGTACTGGTAGTAGTGAAAAGGGGTAGATTTGGAGAGAAAGATGAAATCATGAGGTTGGGATGCAGAACAGAATCTATGCCTAAAGGTTTTAGATTTAAAGTACAACTAAATGCAACAAACTAGTAATAGTTGTTTAAACACAACATGTTCCTGAGGCTAGACCAGCTCTGTTCAGTTGTGATAGGCTGAGGATTCTGAAAGTCTAGGACCTTAGGATCCAAGGATTCAGACTGCTTTTTAGAAAGATCCAAGACAATGGAAACTCTGCCTTATTTTTTGGTATCCTTTTCCTATGGTATCCCTAGGATATACTACTTAACAGGCCTAAAGTATCCTGAGGAAATTCATAGAAATCCATTTTGATATAAATTCTAAAATCCTAGGCTGTGTAACCCTGGGAAAATCACTCAACTTCTCTAGGCCTCAGTTTCCTCATCTATAAAACGTGGATGATGACACCTGTCCTGCCTCCTTCATGTGGTTTGTGTGAGAGTCAAATAATATGTGTAAAAGCAATTTATAAACTGTAGATTGCTATACACATGTAATTTATTATACAGTTTGGAAAATGATGGTCTAAATTTAGCTGTTCGGCTTTTGCAACTGGAAATGAGATTGAACAGAATTCTGATAGTCTAGTTCTGCTTGACTAATTGATATGTGGATAGAAACTATTGGCCTGTAGCTTTATCATATCACTGAGAACATTACTGTTCCCTGAGAAACTATACATGTACTCCTCAAATAAGGCCCTTTTTTCCTTCATTCCTCCAACACTCTTCCTTTTAATGCCATCCAGGGTCCAGCCTCTGCTCTCAGATACTGACCTGTGCCCAGCTTATATAAACTAGATCTTTCTAAAATTTCATGGATACACCAAAGGGGTGATCACTGGAATATTGTTTAACTACCTCTGCCAAAGCAGAATTTTACTTTCAATGGTACTGATTTTTGTTCTCTTAAATGATCTCTCTCTTTTCTCCTTCTCTTGGTCCTTATCAAAACTCACAGAGCTCTGAGTCAACATCCAACAATAAATGATGACCTGCCAAATCATATAATTTCTGGCTTGGTGAAAGTGAAAGGAGATGTGAAGGAATTCACAGAGACAGCTGCCATATTTGAAGATGGCTCCAGAGAGGATGACGTTGATGCTGTTATTTTTGCCACAGGCTACAGCTTTTCCTTTCCTTTTCTTGATGACTCTGTCAAAGTGGTCAAAAACAAGATATCCCTGTATAAAAAAGTCTTCCCTCCTAACCTGGAAAAGCCAACTCTTGCAATTATAGGCCTGATCCAGCCCTTGGGAGACATTATGCCCATTTCAGAGCTCCAAGGACGCTGGGCCACACAAGTATTTAAAGGTAAGTGACCATGCAAGTTGATTACCCAGTAACTTGGTGGTGTGTTTAGTTCTGTTTATGCACGTGCTTTTAAATAGCTAGAGACAGTATGTATAATTATAACAGTGCCTGGCACAAAGTTAGTGCTCCAAAATTAATTTTTGAGTGAATCTAAAGTAGTCATTTATAACCATAGCCATACATTAGTACCACCTGGGAAATTTTTTCCAGGTAGGCATGTTTTGGCCCCATCTCTGGGGATGCTTACTTGGTTAAGTCTGGGATGAGGCTGGGCATAAGACTTTTAGAAAAATGCTTCTCAGAAACATGCTCCTCAGTGTGCATTCCAGATTAGAATCTCCGATCCAGATTTTAGACCAAAACCAGTTGCCATCGAGTTGACTCTAACTCATAGTGACCTCATGTGTGTCAAAGTAGAACTGTGCTCCATAGAATCTTTAATGCTTATTTTTCAGAAGTAGATCACCATGCCTTTCTTCCAAGGCAACACTGGGTGAACTCTAACCTGCAACCTTTTGGTTAGAAGCCAAGCACGTTAAACATTTGCACCACCCAGGGATTCTTAGATTTTATTAGACAAGTGATACAGATTTGTGAAACAAAAGAATTTCTTTTTTTTTTTCATTACAGATAGAGAAATTTAAATATAGAAATGATGTGACTTGATTTCAGACAATTAAGGCATGGTTGGAGGCTAGTCTAGAATATAGAAGACTAAAACCTCTCGAATTCTCACTTTCTCCTCATATATCTCTTTTTTCAGTTTTGGTAGCTAGGAGTACATGAGAAAAAGACTTTGGGGTTTGGGATAGTAGTCTCAATATGAGTCAGCGGTATCTAGCATCATTAAAAAATTATAGTCCTAAACAACTGTGTTCTCTAAGCTGGTTAGACAACACCCAAAGATGTTTTAAAAGTGAAACTGGAGTGCGTTAAAAGAAGAGAGACCAGAATGGTTAAGGAATTTGAAAACATCATTTTAAGGTACAACTGAAGGCTTTGAAAATGTTTTGCCTAGAGAAGATAAAATTCAGTGGAGACGTGAGAGAGTTCCCCTCAAATATTTCAAGGGATATCCCATGGAAGAAGGATGAGATTTGCTCAGTGCAGCTTTAGCATTAAAGGACAGAACCAGAATCAAGAAGTGAAACCTTGAGGGATACGCAACGTCACCTCAATAAAATGTCACCTCTTTTTCTGTCAGCCAGTGCCCATTTCAAGATGTAATAGGCTGCCTCTGAAATTGTGAAGAATTCAAGCAAAATAGGAAAAGGATGCCAAATGGCTGGATGGACATTTGGGAAGGAAGTATGGAGTAGATTCAAGCCTCAAAATAGGGGGAAACCAGATGACTTTTAAGGTCCCTTCCAGCCCTATTTAGTAGATTATGTACTCCTTGAGAGTACTGGACTACCAATCAAGTGCAAATAACCCATTAGACTGGCTTAATTCTAGTCATATTAAATGGATCTTTTAACTGGGTCAGTTAAGTAAGAGGATAAAGATGCATTAAAATAGGCCACAGTATCTTACTATACCTTAAATAACTGGAACTCTTTTCCAAGACCAAGTGAACTGTTGAACGGAACAGGGAAAATGAATATTTGGAAGAGTCTGCATTACTGCTGTGAGATTAGGGGATCCTAGGGGAAATGTACCTAAACAATTGGCCAAGAGCCCAGATTCCTATACTAGCAGAAGCCTAGTGTGAATTCCTCTAGCTTTCTTCTAACATCTGGAAGGTAGGAATCTTCAGAAGAATCTCTATAACTTTACCAAAATTCCAACAGGAACCCTGAGCTTTTTGTTCTGTCCATGACCTTCTTTTCTACCTTCAAATTCTTGCCTTTCTCATCCTTGAAATCTACCTTTACTGTGCCAAGTTTTAAAACCTCAAGGTTAGCTAGTTTCTCCCATTCTTTCATACCTTCCCAACTCAGCCTGTTCTCTTCCCTGGCCTATCCTTCCTCTGCCAAGCCCCATTTTGCCTTCTTACTCTGTTCTCTGGAACCATAGTTCTCTTGTCAAGAAAATAGTCCACCCTTTTCTAGAACACTGAACCTACTTCCTTGTCTTAACTGAAACCTTATTTTCTTTTTTCTTTGCCTCTTATACAGTCCTCTCAAGAACCTTGCAAGTGTTCTACTTTCTTTCAGCAACTTTCTTTCCTTGAAAACCAAATCAAGTTATATCAACTCTCTGGATAATTATGTCTTAGCATATTATTCAAGTTCCTCCACAAATTGGATACAGCTTACTCTTTCAGACCTGTCTTTCTCGAATCTTTACTGTACATCCTACAGTCTAGATGCTCTGGATGACTTAACCACTGATCGGCAAACACAACATGGGCTCTTGCACCTCTGTGCCTTTGCTTCTGTTTCTCTCTGCTTGGTATGTCCTTCTTTTACTCATTATTTGTATAAAGAAAGCCTACACATATTTCCTCCTACCCCTTGTAGCATATTGAAAACTCTTTAAATAAAGAAATTGTGTTTATTCACCTTTGTAAACCAAGCACAGACCAGTGCCTAGTGCATTGTTGTTCATTGCCATATAGTTGGCTCTGACTTGTGGTGACTTTATAACAGAACAAAACGTTGCCCAGTCCTAATACATGTCTGTTCAATAAAATGCCAGTTTAGTTCTGAGGTAAACTCTACAATAGAAACTCCTTCTCTGAGGGTTTCAGCTTATGAAATACATTAGCCAATTTCCAGTCATGTTAAAAGACTTGACTGAACTGGAAGAGCAGAATGACAGCCACAACTCTCTTCTCTTGTAACATTATCTTTACACCAATATATGCAGGAGCAAGTTAGGATTCGAGAAAGTCAGGATTACACATATCCAACCCTCCTTACACCTGACAGCCAACTGAAAGTCCTACTACAGTTATAATTCAGGCTCTCTTCCTTCCCGCCTGGTCTTGGAACCTTTGGGAAATCTCTGAACTTCACCATTCTTCAGCTAACATGTATTGACCCCTTAGTATGTGCCAAGGCCTGCACTAGATGCTGAAGATAAAAATATGACCAAAATGCAAATCCTTGTTATGGGGCTCAGAGTCAAACAACGAAGAGACACAAGTAACCAGACATTTAATGTATTCATTCATTCAACGGATATTTACTACATCCTAAACAAGTGCTCCAATAACCATGTAGAGGTGCTGCTCTGGTAGCAGTGAGAAATAAGCACCTAATTCTCCTTAGAGATGAGCCCTGGTGGTGCAGAGGTTAAAGCGCTTGGCTGCCAACCCAAAGGTCAGCGGTTGGAACCCACTAGCCGCCCTGCGGGAGAAAGATTTGGCAGTCTGCTTCCATAAAGATTTACAGCCTTGGAAACCCTATAGGGCTTTTACTCTGTCCTACAGTGTCACTCTGAGTCAGAATTGACTCCACAGCCACGGGTTGGGTTTGGTTTGGTTTAGTTTAGTTCTCCCTAGAGGAACTGGAGAAGTTCATCGGTCAATCCTCAGCTACATCTTAAAGGATGAGTAAGAGTTTGGCAAAAGGACAAGGAAATACTGACCATAACAGGGAGACAAACAATCCATAATATTTATGCAAAGTCAGAGAAAAATGACAGAACAAGTTTCAGGAACTATAAGTAGTCCAGAATGCTGGAAGGTAACATAAGAATTAAGGAAAATGAAGCTAGAGATATTCCTGGAGGCAAAATGAAGAAAATCCCTGGGTGCCCTGCAAGAAGTTTGCATTCAGTGTAGGCAATAGAGAACCACTGAAAGGTTTTAACTGGGAGATAAGAAGTCAGATCAGATTTGCAATTCAGAAGATGTGTCAGAGGTGTGAAATGGGAATAGGTCAGTTAAAAGCCTATGGTAAAAGTACAGTTAAGACATGATGAGGGTATTAAACTAAGGTAACGACAATCTAAATGAATAGGAGACAAACTTAAATGAACTTTAGCAGGTAGATTGGAAAGGATTTGGTGACAGAATGTATGTTGGGTATGACAGGAAAAACAGAATCTACTCAGATGCTGCTGCCATTAATTTAAACTGGGAATATAAGATGGGGAGCAAGATAGGGAGGGAGGGAGTCGAGAAATAATAATACGTGTCGAAACAAGGAAACACTGCAAGAACAGTGTTAATGAATTAGAGAGCACTGCACCACAGGGTATTGTATATATCTCTATCTATAGATTTTTCTTTCTTAATTTTTTTTTTTTTTTGTGAATTAGCTCTCACAGCCTAGAACTACCTCCTCTTCCATAATGTTTCTAGTTAATAGAAGGAAGATTTATGGTTTTACTATGAGCAATAATTTGGAAATCAACTCTCAGTGTGTTCGTTGAGCATCTCAAGAGACCTGTGATTAATCTCAAATGAAGCATGTCAATGTTTCCTCATTGATTTATGAACATAAGTAATAACTCCCATGGCTAAAATGAGAAAAAACACATGGCAAAACCCAGAAGGCTATTTCTTGAGTGTTGAATTTCTGAGTCCCATATTTTTAGAGGAATGTACCAGGATAGTTAGTAGAGTGTGCCCAGAGAAAGGCAATCAGACTGGCAGAGAATGTACAACCTGTTACATTGGGAACTAGTACTGTTTAGTCTGATAATGGGAATGTTTAGAGGAGTTTATGACAGTTTTCAAATGTTTCAAGGGTAGTCATTTGTTAAGATTAGACTCTGTGGCTCCAGGATTATAAATAATAATAATGTTTGTTGAATAATCTCTGAGAGTCGAAACAAAGTTAAAACAATGCTGGAGATGTGTTAGTCAATCATACAATTCTTGAGTTGGACAGCATACAGCATGTGACTGGGTATTGTACCTAAGATGAGGCTGTTTGGGGTATTTATAGTCCAAGCAAAAAGAAAGCCAGGGAAGTCCAAACGGTTTCAGTGAGTCTTTTGGATATTTATTAAAATATCTCTTGAAATTCTTTCTCCCTCAGAATTGTGTTTGGCTAAGAAAACAAACGATGCAGGTCTTGAGTGGGGAGGTCAGAGCCTACCAAGCAGGCTTTTATATAACCAGGCATCTGTTTTTCTGGAATGCAGGAATTAAAGAACAGAAACTGTTGATAACACACAAATCTACAGAAACAAGCTAACTACTCTTTCTAAGAGTTAGGTTACTTATTCTCTTAAACTTTTGCCCTGTGAAACCAGGTAGCAGCCATGCTCTTCCAGCTGGGCTTAATGACTCCATGTTGTTTTTAGCTTCCACAGCCACATGTTCTAGCAACATCTCCTCAGAGGGTAATAAGATCTCCATCACCAGAGAAGTTTAAGCAGTAATGAGATAACCACTTGACTAGAATATTTGTAGAGAGAAGGCTTATATTAGGTAAGGTATATTCCCATTCTGAAATTCTGTGTTATAGAGCTTTATGGAGTACCACCTTAGGGTTGGGATGTGGCTAAAATTTTCTACATGAAAAAATGCCTAGAAATCTAGGCATAAGGCTAATTGTTTCAGCTCAGCATTGTTTATATTGACTTAAATACTGTTCTTTGTCTGACTAAGTCTCTGGTATTAAATTCCTAGTGCTGGAAATGTTTGTGTATCAGTGATTAAATTTATCTGTCAAGATTGGGTATTATGAGTTGTTCTTGGCCTTAAACTCCAACCTCATCAAATAAAAAAGTTTAGTTGGTGAGACTTATCTTCCATAGGACTTTAGGCATAAGATGTGATTAAGAATTCAGTTTTACTTCCTTCTCTTGTGCTATACTCTGTGTTATTACAAGTGCAGATGTGTTTGCCCATCCCACTGCCCTTTACTTTGTTCTTCATTTTTCATATATTTTTAAAGGCATTTATCATTTCCACATGCCCATATTTTATTTCCCACTTGAAAGACTATGTTAAGGAGGAGGCAGGTACTGGTTGGAAGGCAGAGTGGGGGAAATATCTTCCAAAGACAAAGTAGAATAGAACAGAATAGAGTGAATTGTAAACTCCTTGAGTACAAAAAACTATCCTGTATTTCACTGAATTCTTCATAGCATAGTAATTTTTAACAGAATTATTGTTCCCAGTGAGGTCATTGTATACGTAAAATTTTAACTTTTGTCTTTAGGGCTAAAGACATTGCCTTCACAAAGTGAAATAATGGCAGAAATATCTAAGGCTCAAGAGGAAATAGAAAAAAGGTAAGAAACTCTCCCAGGTAGATACGTCGTTAATTTTTCACCTATCGCTTAATAAAAGCACTGTACTATACTATATTTAGCTTCCTTATGTTAGTTAAGGATTTAGGTTATATTTTGAAAGAAAATGAAATAATTTGTGATAATGTTATGGTGAAATAGCAGCAGTAGCAGTGCTTTGAATATATATGGGAAAAAAAAGGAGACGCTTAGGAAGAGTGTTTAAAATTCTATGTTTAGGTCCTAAAAGAAAAGTCGAGTAGTAGAAAGAGCACGTGGAGGGAAAATCAGATATATTATTTTGCTAGTGGAGCTGCCAGAGAAAGAAAGACTGATATGAAATTAATGAAAGAGTGATACAAAATTATGATCGAATTACAAGTCTGTAGGTAGATTTACAAATCTGTTCGGCAGTGGCCACTTGGCTGGCTGTCATCATGTGACAGCACATTCAGTCACAGTGGCTCATGGAATGAAGAGTCCACATGAGTGGGGAAGGGGATAACATCAGCCAGCTGCTTAGTACTTGGCTGAACACATTAATCACAATCTGAATTTCAGAACTTGAACTCAATCACCAGATGATTTTTATTTGGACAAAGTGGGAGTTAGTGATAAATTACTGAGTTTTTGTGGAAAAGTGAGAGGCACAATCACTACAGGCCCAAAGAGGTGGTTTTCTTCAATTGATTATATCAATAATCTCTCCTCTGTCTGCAAGGGGGAGAAAGAAAGTTTTTATTCAACCTTGTTACCCTTTCCAGGTCCTCTCCTATTTTCCTCTCTCCTTTCACTGCCAAACTTAAATATTCTAAATTAAATGTTCTAAATTCTCAGTCTTTGCTCCTTCTTAATCCCCTTACACTGTAATTTCCATCTTTATTCCTTAAACTACTCTTTTGAAGGTCATCCATGACAAACTTCATTTTCATTCTTTTTATTATTTGGTATTTTTAAACATTTCTTCCTTCATACAGTGCTTTTTTCTCTTGCTTTCCTGGCACTAAATTATCCTATTTCAACTTGCCTCCTTTATTTCATTTGATTTATTTTTGTCTAACCACCTTCTGACTGTGAGCAGTCCCCAAGGATATAATTTAACCTTTATTGAGGGTCCATTATGTACACACATTGTGATGTGTTTTATAGCCATGAGCTTATTTAATCCTCATAATAACTGTGCAATGCAGGTTCTAGTGAACTTCCTGTGAAACTTTTCACGAGTAATGCAGCTCTTTACTCTCTATTATATGATAAATAAATGCATGCCTGCAAACCCTTGACCCAATATGACATCTATAAATGAAGACTCTCAATTTCTTTCTTGTCTTACCTTCTCTTCTAAACTCTAGTTCCATCTCAATAAATTCCTACTTGGCCATCTATTGGTCCATCTAGGATTCCATCTTAACCAATTTTACCCTCAAATTTATTTTCTATCATCTTTTTCCTATCCTTGTTTTTTGATTCCTTTAGTAAACCTATCCAATCTCAATTAGCTTGACTTGGCTTTTCTCTTATTGCCTTTCTGACCCACTATTCTTTATTTTCATTATAGAAAGCTAACTATGAAAGTCACCACTTAGCTCCCCAAATCCCACTCCCTGTGCACAGGTAATCACAGTCATCACTGTTACCACATTTTTCCCCCTTAAAGAGACCTCTTTACTGTTCAAATCTGCACTTGGTGGAATCATTCCATATGGCTCCATCTGGAGGACTACTCCCTCTTTGGAGATAAATCATCTTCCCCCCTCCTCTCAGGATTCCAAGTTAACTTCAGCCCTGGGAAGTTTGCTTCGTAGACCTCACCACCACTGCCCTCATTAAAAAAAATTAAGAATCCCACACTTACAGTGATTTAGAGAAGATTTTTTGTGGTTGGTTGTCTCTTTCTGATAACATCAGAGTCCTCTGTAACTGGATCTGCCTCTCCATATTCATTCTTGCTTTCCACACATGCCTCTTCTAGTGCCCACAGATATTCCTTGCTCATATCATACTTATCAGTCTTAGAAGAAATACAAACAGAAGTGAGGATGGTGAGACTTCGATTCGCTTACTTTAGACCTACCATCAGGAAGGACCAATCGCTAGAAAAGGACATCATGATTGGTAAAGCAAAGCATCGGTGAAAATGGGGAAAACCTTTCATGAGATGGATTGACACAATAGCCACAACAATGGGCTCAAACATATCAATGATCATGAAGATGGTGCAGGAATGGGCAACATTTTGTTCAGTTATACGCAAGGTCACCATGAGTTGGAGCTGAACTCAGTGGCAACTAACAACAGTTCTACACTTATTCCTGCTTTACTCCTTCCCTCTGCTGTTCCCCTGAAATATAATACTTTCCTCTTTGTTCTCAGAATATGTGTATCTTCCACATTCTTCAAGGCCCTAGCTATTATAGTTCTCTTTTAACTACCCCCTCTTTCTATTTTGCAGTCTAAAACTACCAAGAGTCTTACATTCCCCTCTGCTTCGTGTGTATCAGGTGTATCTCCTCTACTAGGTTATAAGCTAATTGAGGACAGAGACAATATATTTTTTCTCTGTTTTCCATAGCTCTTAGCCCAATATTGAGTCAATAGCAAGCACTCTGCAAGTACTGATTGAGTGAGTGGTTTATTAAACTGTTAATAAGTGATTGCTTCTATCTCCTCTGCTTTAGGTATGTGGAGAGTCAATGCCATACTATTCAGGGAGACTATGTAGATACCATGGAAGAACTTGCTGATCTGGTGGGAGTCGGGCCCAATCTGCTGTCCTTGGCCTTCACTGATCCCAAGATGGCATTACAGTTATTATTGGGACCCTGTACTCCAATCCATTATCGTCTACAGGGCCCTGGAAAATGGGATGGAGCACGAAAAGCTATTCTCACTACAGAAGATCGTATCAGGAAGCCTATGATGACAAGAGTAGTTGAAAGGAATAACTGTATGACCTCAACAGTGACAATGTTCAAGGTTATGCTGGCTGTTGCTTTCTTTGCTATAATTATAGCCTATTTTCAGCTGTCCCATTGTCATTGCCCCTGCTTTCACTGGGAAGCTAGTTCTAAATACCTTCAGAACTTGAAGAAATTGAAAAATTCTCAGTCACATTGCACAGAAATCCTACTTTTCTTTTTCTTTCCATAGCATTAATCCTCTTTCCTTTTTCCCTATAATAAAATCCCCAGTTTTTCATTCAGATTGACCCACCTCCCTTCCTCTCAAGACCCATCACTTTTTCCTTCCAGTAATCCTTAGACAGTGAGCTCAGGGACTCTTTTAGTCACCGTATATGTCCTTAGCAGAGTTCTTGACATATGGGAGGTGCTTAATAAATGTTTGTTGTTGGTTATCAAATACTGTGGTGGGGAGCATAAGTCAGCATCTGTGTAAGAACTGGCTGACTCCATGTAACTCTGCTTCTAATGGATTTGGTTTTCTATTAGAAACTCGATTTGTTTGTTTTTAATCTTGTAGCTAAATGTATGTTTCCTGAGAGATGAGAAATCATGGTCATATAAAAAACAAAACGCCCATTGCCATCAGGTTGATCTGACTCATAGCAACCCTATAGGATAGAGCAGAACTACCCCATAGGGTTTCCAAGGAGCAGCTGTTAGATTTGAACTGCTGACCTTTTGGTTAGCAGCCAAGCTCTTAACCACTGTGCCACCAGGGCTCCTTAGTCATATAGCAGTTGTATATAACTGAAATAAGAGGTAGACTTCAGACACTGTTTCATTTGCTGTTCCCTACCACCACCACAAATTCCTAGTTGCCGAGTCAGCTCCAACTCATGGCAACCCCATGTGTATCAAAGTAAAACTGTAGAAGTGTTTTCAATAGCTGATTATTTGGAAGTAGATCACCAGGCCTTTCTTCTCAGGTGCCTCTGGATAGACTCAAACCTCCAACTTTTCTGTTAGCTGCTGAGCCCGTTAACCTTTTGTACCACCCAGGGACTCCTGCGTTCCCTAGTGTACCTGATGTTTACCCTAGCAACACAACTTTATTTCTCAATGAAGAAAAACTACCTTCAACTTTCTACATTCACAGGTCATTCTAATCATCTAGCATCTGCCAATAGGTTCAACTTGGTTGAGAAACTTGGGATTTTAAATTAGCTGTCCTTTCTGTTTTGAACTCTAATTTTCCATATTCAGGATCCAAGAAGACTTAACCTTAAGAAGTATGATAAGTAGCTGCCAACTGTTGTAGTGTGGCCTAATATGATTTGATTTGCTTCCCTTCTCCCTTGCTTTTCCCGCCCTCATCCCTTTCCCTGAATGAAGTATAAGTAATGAATATTCAAAGAGGTCATTTATGTATGTTAAAAAAAAAAAGGAAACTGAGGCCCAGATCGACAGATTCCTCTGAGTGCATAGGAAATTTCACAGACGTCACTGACAAATGTAGAATATACCTAAGAACAGATAAACAGAAACAAAGGAGACACAGTGGAGATACAGTGATCATAAAATAATGCAAACCCTCCTTCTTGACATCTGTTAACCATTAACTCGCTTGAAATTTACCTTGCAAAGAATTTAACCTTACCCAAAGTAACCTGGCTTTCACCTTTGTTTCCAGAGAAGATAATTCTAAACCTTTGGAGTTTCTGGAGTAATTGAGATCTCTTTATTGCGCAAATGAATGGAAGCTGGCCAGGCCACAAAGACTACCAGGTAGCCCCAGGAAGGAAAAGGAGCATGATTCAATTATGTTAAATTTCGCCAACTGGTTAATCTTCTACTTCGTAGTCCTCGCTTTTCTTCTTAAAAGCTTGTAACTAATCTACACTGAGCCCTCATATTTTTCAAAAGGAGAGGTCTCCCTGTATGCATATAGATTAACTGCTTGAATACACCCTAAATGCTGTTATTTCTTTGTGCTTTGATTATTTTGACGTGTATTAATTTAGAGTTGTTATTAACTAAGCGTATGGGCATTCTGCTTATTTTTCTTACATCATCCAGTGTAATTCTGAAACAGAGAGCAAACGAAATGGAAAGCAAGGACTTGGGTTTGTGTCCCAGCATTGCTGCCAATTCTGTTTTCTCATTTTTAGAAGTTTTGTAGTTCTTGTCTCACCAAGAAGTTACCTAAGTGTCAGCTGTCAGACACACTGAATTCCATGAAGAAAGGTACTAAAAGCACCAGCCGGGTGTATATTCATCAAGATCTATTGTGCAATATGTTAATAAATTTTGGGATTGCTGCCTAGTACTTAACAGCAGGATAAATTTGAACAACTGAAAGAAAAACATAAGAAATTATAATGTTTCCTAATATAAATATACATAAGAGAACCAGAAATACGAGAACTACAACTTTCTCTTAATCATGTATCTATTGGACACTTGGCTGCCATTTGGCCTAATTTACCTGTGGAGATGCCTTTTGAGAAATACAGAATTGTTATTACATTTTAGGTCCTCTTCCTCCTGTAATCCTTGTATGATACTGAAGATTTATTATCTACTAAAATAGATCTAAAAATACCAAAAACCAAAGCCACTGCAGTCGAGTCGATTCCGACTCATAGTGACCCCTTAGGGTTTCCAACGCTATAAATCTCTATGGAAGCAGACTGCCACATCTTTCTCCGGTGGAGCAGCTGGTGGGTTCAAACCACGGACATTCTGGTTAGCAGCCGAGCACTTTAACCACTGCACCACCAGGGCACCTTAAAATAGACATAGTATCTATTAATTTAGAGATTACTTTAGTTCAAAAGTAAATTGAAGGTCAGGTACTTCTTTTTCATTGTCACCTTTCAGCATGTAAATTTGTCAAATTAACAATCCTTTTATAATTTGTAACTGATCAGCAATAAATACTCCAGTTTCCTTTTTATTATTATTTTAAATAATATTATGTTTTTGGTGAAAGTTTACACAGCAAATTACGTTCCCATTTGACAATTTCTAAACAAATTGTTCAGTGACATTAGTTATATTTTTCAGTGTGTCAGCATTCTCTTTAACTGCATTCTGGTTGTTCCATTTTTAGTACTCTATAGTTTCCCTGCCCCCTTATCTTCTCATCTTAGCTTTAGAGTAATTGTTGACCTTTTGGTCTCATATAGATGGATTTTTAATGGAGTACCATACTCACAGATACTACCCTTAATTTTGTGTGCCAATCAGTTATTTTGCTAAAAGGTGAACTCGGGATAGTTTTGGTTCAAGGTTTAAAGAATATCTCAGGACTATAGTCTCAGGGAGTCTGCTAGGCCCAACTAGTCAAGTAAGTCTGGACTTTTTAAGAATTTGAATTTTGTTCCACATTTTTCTCCTGTTTTATCAGGGTCCATCTATTGTGGCCCTGATCAAAATGGTCAGTAGGGGTAGCTGGGTACCATCTAGTTCTTCTGGTCTGTGGAAGCTAAAACCAAGATGGAGTCACTTATGCCACGTCTGGGACAGCATGACTGCTACCTGGTCTCACAGGACAAATGTTTAAGATAATAAGTAACCTGAACTTTAGAGATAATAGCTAGCTTGTTTCTTTTAAGTTTATGTGTAACAAACCCCCTTAGAATAGCTCTACATTCCAGACAAACTGGCCTTGGCAAGCACTGACCCCTCAGACCTGCATCGTTGTCTTCTTAGCCAAACACAATTCTGAGGAAGAAAGGATTTCAAGAGACATTTTGATGAATATCCAGAAGATTCAGTGAAGCCCTTGGGCTTCCCCAACTTTCTGTGTTCCTTGGACTATAAATACCCCATCCTGCCTCATCTCAGGTGTAACACAACACCCAGTCTCATGCTGTATGTTGTCCAATTCATAAATTGTATGATCGACTAATACATCTCTAGCATTGTTGTAACTTTGTTTCAACTCTTAGAAATTATTCAACATTTCTGGTGTCATAAGGGATCCTTAGGGTGCTGAAGCCTTTGCGACCCCCTCAGATTTCATCAGAAACAAGCTTAGTACCAGGTCAGGTAAAGCCCCTCTTGGATTCCAAGCTCTGCTTTGCGTAGTAGCCCTCCAAGATTTATTTTTCAATTTGTGCTTGAGTTGTTGACTTTGAAACTGCTGTCCCGATAGGTAGTGCAAACTCTAAGGGAGCTTCGGATGTGACCCAGGCACATCAGCTCAGCCCATTATCAAGACCTATGGGCCTGGATCGTGTTTGTTTTGTCTTTCTGGCACACCCTAAGCAAAGACAGTTTAGAGAATCAATGGCCATTATGGGGAGTTTTCTGCTTGGACAAGCTTGTTTTTCTGCCCCGTAAATTAGAATCTTAGGGATCTAAAATTAAAATCAATGGTATGCATATTTTAATTGGTACTTAGAAACTTGTAAGCGACAAGAGTCTACACTGGCCTCTTTAAAAGATACAGTCTCTAAATTAACAATAGCTAATAAGGAATTAAAGGAGGCACACAAAGCCTTGGAATGCTCTCTAAATGGAACTGAGCCAAAGGCTTCCTTGACAATTTCTCTCCCTGCTGTTTCCCCCTGCTGTTTCTGCTATGGCTACCCCTTCCCCATCTCTGCCTTTCTACCCTGACCTTCCATTCTGTATGCTGATATTAACTCTGAACCCTTTAATCTTTTGCTCCCATTTCTAACCTAGTAGAAATAGCTCCAGTTTCTAAACCCAAATATCAGATGCCTTTTAAAATAAAACCACTGGAGGAAGATAGCAAACTTATCCAAGTTACTTTCTCTCCTTGGTCTGAAGTAGAACTTCACGCAATCATAAAAGAATTTCCTAACCCCCTCGAGGATCCCCAGAAATTCACAGAGGAATTAAAAAGCCTAACTGAAACCTATGAGCCTGGATTATTTGATTTATATCAATTATAAATATGTTAGTTGGGCTAAGAGAGGCTCACGGATGAAAGAGGCTGATTAGAAAGACCCAGAAAAAATCTTTAAGTATAAAAGCCACTGCCTCTGGCTCTGAATTGCTGGTTGAGGCAAGAGCCAAAGCTAAGCAGCTTCTGGATGCTATTCCAAAGGTGTTTCCTAGTAAAATAGACTGGGCAAAAGTCCAAAGTTATAAACAATAAAAGGATGAAAGTGTTTATAAGAATTGTTTAGCCAAAATTTCTGCAAATCATCCCGGATTGATGCTTGCCAAAGCGGGAGCCAGAACTGCTTTTAATTCGGCCAACATGGTGCTATAGACAGAAGCACCACACTGTCCCTCCAGAGCAAAGTAAGTAAAACAGATAGAAATGTCAGTCCTGGAACCCTAAGTGTCAAATGAAGGGATAAAGAACTCAGCCAAGCACCGAATGGAATAAGAAACTGGCAGAGAACAGAGAACAAGGGGAGGTACAGAGTGGAGGTCCCCTACCAGCCAACATGGCATGGATTCGCCATCTTGGACCCCTCAGCCACCAAGAATGGCAGAAAGGAAGTACAGGAAGGCAACTTCACAGAGCTCCCAGCAGGAGAGAGAGCACCCAGTAACCAGGGATACACGCTTTTCCACCCCCCACACTTCTTCCCTCTGCACAGCCTCCATCACTTTCCGGCAGGCTGTAGTCCCTCGGCCAGGGAAACACCGGCTCCTTGCCGCTTGGATACGCCCCACCCCCACCAGCTGGCTCCTTCAGTGCCATTTTTTTTGTTGTTACTTTTTTGGCTTCTTTTGGTTTCTTCTCTCTCTCACCTTCCTTCCTTTCCTTTCTCTTGACTACCTGGTGCTGTGTGCCATCTCTGCTTCTTGACAGGCTGTTCAGTGCCACTCGGCTGGGGAGCTGCTTCCCCAGTCCCTGCCACCAAGCCACTGGGCTCCCTTGGGGCATTTAAAAAGTCTTTTTCCTCATTTTCTTGTTTCTCTCTACCTTCCTTCCTTTACTTTCTCCTGACCACCTGGCTGTGTGTGCCTTTTTTTTTTTTTTCTTTTTTTTTTTTTTTTTTTAGTTTCTTACGTCTCTCTCCCTTCCTTCCCTTTCTCTCACCCACCTAGCAGCATGCCATCTCTGCCCCTTCTTGATGGGCTGTGCCACATCACCTGACTAGAAGTCACCAGCAAATGGCTTCCCTGGGACCACGTCACTCCAACAGCAGGCTCCCTCAGCACCTGTTTATTTATTTATTGGCTTCTGTTTCTCTCTCTTCTTTCTCCTCCTTCCCACACCCACTTAGCTCCACATATCACATCCTCCCCCTTCCCTTCTGCCTATCCACACCACGTGCTGAACACTGCACCCCCAAGTGGCACAGGTGTTGATCACCGGACCCCACCCTGCACTGCCCCCCAGCCTCACCTGTAGGCCCCAGTACATGCCACGAACTACCCATCCCCACCCCTCCCCCTCCGCTGGACCTGCCCTGCTGTACCATAGCTAAGCAACCAGCCCTGCGCACCTGGACAAGGTGGTGAGAAGTATCGTGCCTACAGACAAGAAAACAACACTCAGCCCGCCTGCCCAGACATAACCAAATAAAACAAAAAAGCAGGATGAAACAAACAAATCTACAATCAATAAACGAAGAAAATAATTACTGAATGTCCCGAAGACAGCAGACAATACAAAACATATTAAAAAACAGGACAGGATGGCTCCAGAAACCATCCAAAACAAAACACCAGATGATCTTCTGGTAGAAGAAAAGGCACTGGAACTATGTGGTAGGTAATTCAAAACTCTAATATTCAGTGCACTCCAAGAGATGAAGGAAAACACAGACAAAAACCAGGAAAAAATCGTGGAAAAGACAGACAAAACAATGGAAGAATTCAAGAAAATAACCAGGAACAAAATGTGAAAATAAACAACTAGAAATCAGAATTGCTTTTAATTCAATGTTTCTAAATAGCCTGCACCCAGAACTGTCTGTGTTAGTCAAACACCATAGATTTGATAGGGAAACTGTACCCATTACTGAGTTGACCAATCTAACCTTTAGATTAGTTCAGACCTAAACGAATGATTTCTTTTATAAGGATCAGCACAAAGCTGGTTCCTATGAGGTGAAGGTTAAAGATGTCCCAGATGTCCAGCTTTTCCAAGCTGCTGTACCACTCCATCATCTCTAACATCAACTACTCCCTCTCCCCTCAGCATTCTCCTTCCCGTCTTTGGATTCCTTAATTTGCTGCAACATCTCACAAAACTCAGGAACCATATAAAGGAAATGGCTCACATGATTGTGGAGGCTGGCAAGTCCCAAATTTGTGGGTCAGGTGTAGGCTGGCAAATCCCAGAATTGGCAGGTCAGAGAGCAGGCCTCTGGGGAGGTCAACTGATCATGAACTAGATGCAGGATCCAGATGCAGAGAGAGCGCCTTGCTTAGATACAGGCCGCCTCCTAGGGAAGGGCGTAACTTTAGTAAAGGTGGGGCTTGAGTCATGCCCTCCTGCAAGGCTGTGACCCAAGACACACCTCACACCAATCCTGTCTCATCAACATGTAGAGGTCAGGATCCACAACACATAAAATGGAGGACAACCATATAATACCGGGAACCATGGCCCAGCCAAGCTGACATAACCACAATCATCACAGGTTCTGTATACCTTATTTAAAACTGAATGTTTTAAATTGAAAAACAAATGGCTGGTAGCTGCAGTTATAGAAGCAGATGTAAGTTTTCCTAAGCATTGTGATTCACAATGA